TATGTACTGTGGAGAATCACATTCAGATATTACCAAATCAACCACCTAATTGAATTTTCATAGAAAAGTACGAGTTAGCACTTACTGTAATCATTATAATATAAATTTATTTAAGTCATTTTCTCGTTTGACAAAAATTTCAAATTGTAAATGATGCGAAGCTTCCACAGAATGAGAAGGATGACATTATAGTTATTGTTTGATGGAAGAACATTCCAGTTACTTTTGGAACAATTTGTTAGTTCTGCTCAAAGTGATATCATAAAGAATTTAACAATTTGTTATTGCTATTGTTATTGTCATCGTTGTTGTAAAATCATTTTTGATAGGATGGCATAAAAGAACAGAATGAGACAAAAACAAAACTTCCATTAACACGACAAATTTTACTGTCTAATAAAGCTTGTTAATTATCCTTAATTGTTTCTAGCTAATGAAGCAATTTATCAAACCAGTGGATACGGAATCATTGTCATGAGAGAGAAGCTTATGAGCCCTTATGAGAATGTAAGCAATGCTAACACAATGGTTTGTGTCTCCGGCAGGGTCTCTGATGCCAGAGATGTCTCAACTGAAGAGTCAGACAAAGTGTGTGCACGAGCGGGATGGGCTCGTTGGTCTGCCTCCCGGTGATCATCCTAGGAGAAGGACATTCCAAACCCGGGCAGATGAAGCTCATTTAATCTTGTAAGACCATCCATCTAAGAGAAGGACACTCCAACAATATCTATCATTGATATCCTTAGAAGGGTGGCCAGTTCCATGCATGGTATATCTTACCCAAAAAATCCACTGCGCAGGCCGGAAGGATACATTCACATTTGTGGTAGCATGAGTAGAGGACTTCCCAAATCTTTGTTCGGATAATGATAAAACAGTCTTGAAAGAGAATATCATTATAAAGACCACAAATAAAAGATACTGAAACAATGAATGAAAAATGAAGCCGGAAAGTTAACATTTTGATATGAATGATCTGTTGTTGTCATCATCCATGGATGGCGATCCATATATATTAAGGTGGGACTCCAATGTGGTAAACTGATCACAGCGGACAAACAATAGGAATTTAACAATTCCGTGGACTGTGAACGAACTGGCGGGAAATAATGCCACCACATATGCGATCAACTTATGCTATGGCCTGATGAAGGATAAGGAAGCAAAGCTTTTCATTAATGGAGTTATTCTTGTCAATTATCGTATAATGCTCTCTACAAGGTGAATATTTGATATTCTATATGCATTAGTTGGAAATGGATAGAATGATAACAATTATTGTACGTGACTGATCTACCGGTCTAGACAGTCTACCTTCTCCAGAACATCATAAATAGGATCAATTGTTTTCATTATTCTCTTATCTCAGACTTTGTACAGCGAGGTGGGGTGGTTTTATTAATGAAGGGGTGACAGTTACGTAGTAATGGGTTCCTATGTGTTTAGTACTGTCACTATAGCACTTAGTAAGATCGAAATGATATTATCACATCTGTGAGCCACAATTAAATTAATAAATGATTAGGAAATGTAAAAGACAAGTTACGGACAATTAATTGACTTTTACGTAGATGAACTATGATCCAAGTTTACTGATTGTTTTAAGCTAGTTAAGCTTTCGATGATGACAATTATGAAAAGAACTGATAAGTGTTTTTAAATGAAAAACACTTCCTGAACTGTTAATTACTGTTTACTGGACGTGTAGAAGACGTGAAAAATAAGGAAAAAAAAAGGTAGGACATCGAAGATGTCGAAAGTTATTTTATCAGAAAATCGGAATCAAAACGATGACATTCAAATTAGGGATTATTGGGAGCTTAAACAAGTGAGGTGAAGTAATGTATTGCTAGATCAAAGTGGATAATGCTTAAGAATAGACCAAGATAGATTAGAAGAGTATCGATTCCGATTCTGTTACCTCAAATATTCAAGTGAAGTCATCTTTAACCGGCAAAATTTTTTCCAGATTTAAAGCTTAACGCTCATTTAAGAACGTCATCTTTTGTGAAGGAATCGCTGCAAGAAACATGGTACTTACATTTTAGGTCTTTCGAAGAGTAATATGGGAACTATTGGGATCTTTTAAATATGAACTTATCATTTATCATTTTTACTTTTCCAAGTAATTGGGTAAAATTAATCTGCAGCGTGAAGTAATCTCAGTTCATGTTGGACAAGCTGGCGTACAGATTGGAAATGCCGCCTGGGAGCTGTTTTGTCTGGAACATGGAATTCAACCTGATGGAACAATGAAAATCTTGAATAAACAGCATATTGATGACTCGTTTTCAACTTTCTTCTCTGAGACCGGTACTGGACGTCACGTTCCGCGCGCCATGTTAATCGACCTTGAACCTACTGTAATCGGTAATTGTGTCCGTATACCCGCATCCGTGAAATCTCAATAATTATTCCAAAATCTCCTACCTATTCGTTTCAGATGAGATCCGAACAGGACTATATAAACGTTTGTTTCATCCGGAACAAATGGTTACTGGTAAAGAGGATGCAGCAAATAATTACGCACGTGGACATTACACAGTTGGTAAAGAAATAATCGACCTTGTTCTGGATCGGATCAGACGACTTGCTGAGAATTGTGCCGGTTTACAAGGTATGTTGCATGCTGACAAATAACTTATTAGAAAAGAAGTATTCATAGGTAAGTCTCATTCCACCAAATCTTTTAATGAAAGTTGTTGTGAGTATTGCAGTTCAGAACAAATGAAAAAAGTTTTCAGGTTTTCTGGTATTTCACTCATTTGGTGGCGGTACAGGTTCTGGTTTTACCTCACTATTGATGGAACGATTAACGGTTGATTACGGTAAAAAAAGCAAGCTGGAGTTTTCCATCTACCCAGCACCACAGGTTTCTACTGCAGTAGTAGAACCATATAATTCAATCTTGACGACACACACAACTTTAGAGCATTCCGATTGTTCATTTATGGTGGACAACGAAGCAACTTATGATATATGTCGTCGCAATTTGGATGTGGAAAGACCATCATATTCCAATCTCAATCGTTTAATCTCACAGGTTATTATCATTTCTGCATTTCCGTTCAGATAAGCATAATTCCAGAATGGAACCAAAGTTATGCTTCTTTTGGACGGTTAATTTCATAGAAAATCCAATTACCTTGTTCGTACTTAATGAAAAGTTATCGCTATGTTACCTATCGGATGAAAAGGTAATTTCAGGTAGTTTCTTCGATCACAGCTTCACTTCGTTTTGATGGTGTGCTGAATGTTGATCTGACAGAATTTCAAACAAATTTGGTACCATATCCACGTATACATTTCCCCTTGACTACTTATGCTCCGATAATTTCTACTGAAAAGGCTTATCACGAATCGTTATCTGTAATGGATATCACTAACTCATGCTTTGAACCAGCCAATCAAATGGTTAAAGTGAGTTATAATCACTAGTAAAAAAAATAAAATGTTTTTA